ATTTATAATCGTTCTTATAGGTTGCCACTGGCAGCTTTTGTGAATTGCATTACTGTTGTTTTTCTGTTCTCCAATTTAGTCACTTGAGGCCATGTTCTCTCTGTGAAGAAAACAATATGGGAGTTTTGAACAAGTGCAGTGTGCATTCTTGCAAATGATCTAGATTCTAGTTCTTTTGTCAGTTGAAGGTTAAACTCGAGAGAAGTAATACATTAGAGGTCACAGCTGTTTTTTTATGTGTACACACTATGGTGCATCAGTACTGACTCCTTATTTACTTGAAGTAAATTTGTCATTTTCCCTATTATTATGCTTAACATTGTGCACAAAGTAATAATTCTGAGATGAAAGTTGTCACAGCTTATTCAATCATGCTACACATATGCACTAACTAATTGCATTTTCTAAAAGATTTATGCTACTTACATAGTTGGTTTTCATTATTATTGATTTTTCATTTTCTGTCATCATTTGAGCTTACGGAGGCAGTTACTCTAGATTCTGTTCTGAGTTCTGACAACAATGTATTTGAATTGTGCAGCCCTTTCGGTTTCACTGGTGCCCATTTGGTCGTTTGGCTCAACTTCCATCCTTCTTTGAGTATGTTCTGCAGTCTTCGCTTGAAATTGTGGTTTATCGTTTTATTTCACCTTTCCAATTGTCCAGTTCTATTTCTAGCTCAGCACTATAAGATCTTTCAAGTATAGTAATAATATAAAACACCATTGAATTTGCGGGTAGTGAAAATTGGTCTTATGAGGTACTATAACTAGATGTTGTATTTATGTTGGTCCATTAGCGATGCTATCTATACTCTATACTCCTCAAAAAGATTCCAATGGTGGTGGCATTGAATCTGCCACCCCACCCACTCCTTTTGTAGATTTTACATATTACCCCTTGAACTTTTAATGTTACATAACAACTAAATCTAGGTGGATAGCCACATATACAATTAAATTAAGGTGGGTATTCCCTATAACAAAAAGACGGGTAACATATACATTTCATGAAAAATATGTTATTGCTTATTTTAGGCAATATTATGAAAATATTCTTTTATCTATCCATAGCAAAGCATATGGGTATTTAGCTAGTGTTTTGAAAAATTAATAAGCAAATGAGTTAACTCTAGGACCTGTAATATCAACAATCTGTTTTAGGGAGGGATGAATATAAGGTGAATGGCCTTTCAATTCTCGGTGATGAAGTGCGGAACAATATACATTTTTTCTTAGGTTTAGTCCTATCATGATGCATTTGGTTTTTGACAATCTCCGTGCTAGTTCTCTTTCCATGAGACTCTAACTCTACTTTGCATGGATCTTCTGACAAGCCACTGTCTATTGCTTGTATATACCAATATGTCAGTATACCATTTGACCAAAGTGCTGATCAGACTACTGGTGACAGCATTAATGATGATACCATTAAGCCATATTGTCTTTCCCGATACCGATTGCAGTCAGTGAACATATCAATTCTTTAAGTTCTATCTTTTGCTGCACCCTTCTCTTAACACCAACTATTGTCTGTGCAAAATCTATAGCACGCTATATTAAAAGTTTCAGAGTTTCATTGTTTGAAATTGGTGCTATGTAATATTATGTTCCTCACTTAATGTTCCCCTCTTTTGCCAGGGAAGGAGAATCATCACCCCCAGTTACTTGTAAGTTCTTATTTAAATGGGATCATTTTGTAAAACAATAGCTATATTGAGTTTGAAATATGTCTTGATATTGGCCATGCAGTTCATGACTTCATGGGACAACATATGTTTACGGAGCATGTAGCTGCTGTATCTTCTGCACCTGGGGCAGCTCATCCATGCCCATATGTGGCATACTTGCATCCTCTTCCATCATTGGCGTCATCATCAAGCTCTCATGTTCCTGAGAGAACTATGGATGGTCCTGCATATCATGATCCCTGGCACCCCTTGGCTGGGCCTTCAGATGGTAGGCCCTTGCAATCAGTGCAACCTGCTGATTTTCATCATAACCATTGGGCGCATGTTCCCAATTCCTATCCTCAACCCAACAACAATAATGGGGTGGCCGAGCAGCAAGGAGTCCCTTTTGGAACAACGAGGGCTGCAAGAGTTGATGGTGATACCCAACGTCGAGGATCATCTATTTCTCCATCATACTTCAGTAATGGGTAATTACTTATTCATTTCTGCTCAATCTACTAATTTGTCCTTGTTTTTGTTGCCATGTACTTTATCAGAACACATATCAGATTAGTAAAATCAGTAAACAATGGAAAATTGTGTTGGGTACCAAAAAAGACATTGTACGCATCCGTGTCCTATTCTGCTACCATTTTTACCAATACTGTTTGTCCACGTTTCCTTTGCTGGTTTTATCATGCTCTGTTTTAACCTGATGCTATAACAACTTTCACAAATACAATTTTGTATTTTTGTTTATGCTATAACAAAAAAAATGGGAACCTGATGGTGAAATCAATAATAAGCTTGTAAGCATGAGTGTCAGGCTAAGATCTTATACAGGCAAGAATAAATTCCTAAAATTACTTCAAATTCAAAATCTTCTTTTGTAGAAGAGACTATTGCATTATTATGCAGCTTCTGATTTTCATAAAAATGCAGCTTCTGATTCTTCAATGACGAATATGTAGTTATGACTACCTTTTTTTTTTTTGCAGATCTGGTTCTAGATCTAGAGCTCCTAATGTTCCTCCTATGGTACCTCAATTCATGAGGGCGCACGGCAGCATTAGTGAACAGTACCAGCAGAGTTCATCATCCAGCTTATTTGCTGGGGCTCATAGATCAGGAGGCATGCGAACTGCACCGCCGCCCCCTCTACCAGAGAACCCGGCATTTTGCCTTTTCCCACCAGGTTCATCTGGCCATAACTCGATGGAGACTGATGATGCAGGAGGAAACCGATTCTATGCCTGGGAACGGGATCGCTTCGCACCATACCCACTAATGCCAGTGGACTGTGAGACAAACTGGTGGAGTTCACAACAATCTCATGGTACATCAGAACCCGCGCCTGCTCCAAGGAGACTATTTGGGCAATGGATTGGTGTTGGAAGATCATCTCCGGAAAATCGATCACCCGAGGGCTCATCGTATCGGCAAATGCACACCCCAAGGATGTAGACCCTCATGAAGGGAATTTAAGTTAATACTTAACATTTGAAATCTGAAGTTGCTTGTAAGAAGATGGAAAACCCATTGTATGAAATTAAGCCCGGGTCGTGCCGTAAGCCTCGAAGCAAATCTGAGAAGAAGAAACAGAAAATAACCCGGGGTGGACATTTTGATTTGGTTTATTGAGTTCCATCACGTACATATTTGAAATCAAGTTGGGATATTCGGAGTTTCACCTGTGATACAGTTTCGTATTATGCAATTTGTTTAATTCATATACTTTTGCATTTATACGTTTGCATTTATATTCGTACACACTGTTGCTAAAATGAACTTTGATGAAAAAATTCTAAAATTTTCTCTAATTTATACTATGTTATATATAAATAGAAGTTTTTTTTCTATAAACGGAGGGAGTAATAAGTTTTAAAATTGAAATTTTGGTTGCGAAGCAAATAAACATACAGTGAGAGTAATCCCTCTAGTAAAAAGCATGACATTTGAATTCTTTTGTCCTACTTTTAAAATTTTGCACTGTAAAAATTTCAAAATATGTAGCTCGAAGATATAAAAGTAGCATGTGTTGATTTGTTTCGGAAAGCACTTTGGTAATCTTGTAATTGTCATAGCCAAAGTTGTAAACATCTAGGTCCTCATCGTTTGGCTTATTTTCTAATAAGCCAAAACGGCTTATTAAGAAATAAAAATAAATTTGTAGGTGAAACTTTTATAAATGTGTTCTTGGTGACTTAAAAGCCAATGTTGAAAAATAAACTACGTTGAAAATATCTTAAAATTAATCTCAAAATTAAGCTTAAATATTCAAAATTTAGCTTTTTTTTTTTTGCTGATTAGGCCATCCGATGGGAGCCTTATATTTTTTACCGGAGGGAGTAATAACACCTGGGAATAATTATCTGTGATAAGTGAGCGCCATCAAATAGAAAAAGGGAAAAAAAACGTGTCAGGAACATTATCCTCGGTAGTGAAATACTGAAATGCATAAAAAATATAGTGTATTTGCATAACAGGCATCCACTAGCTGTTAGATCAAAAGGAGATGATCATGAGCAATTTCTACGGTAAAAAGGTGTAGCAGCACAAATCACTGTTTGTGAAGTTACAGTACAGATAATAAATTAATGTAGAGCCTTCTGTAGCATCAGATTCACAATCACAACACCGTTTTAAACAGTGTCTCTTTACTGTTACGGCAAAGCATTTGCATCCATCCGTAACAAAAGTCCTCCCATCCCCAACAAATACCATGGCTTGAGTGTGGTTTAAGCAGCATTAAGTTCGCTTTGCATTAGCCACATATGCCACCCAATCACTCAAATCGGATTCAAGTGGGGAGGACAAACATGTTCTTATCGTACTTCTGGATTCCTTTAAAAATATTGTACTTATAGAAAATAAACCGTGAAGTGCCTTTCTTTTCCCCTCATAGCGGAATTGCCCACTTACGTCCTTACACACGATTTAACAAAATAACTATAAAACAAAAATGTTTAAAAGCTATATTTAAATTTAACCGTTCTAAAGAAGCATGCACCTGATTGATTCACTAAACGTATCGTCGACAATTAGATACCTATGATGACTTTATTAATTTTAAGATACGGGTATAACATTTGGGATGTTTACATGGGTATAAGACCGATGTGGGTTTGTGCAAATATACTCGTGAATGCGTATACACATATGGACGCTTGCCTGTATTTGTAGAAAATATAAGATGACAAAGTGAGCGTAGCTCAATTGGTTAGGTTTCTTTCGGTGGAACCAGCCCACCTGTATTCATACCCCCTCGATAGCGAGAGCTTATAGGGATATAATGTGTTAGAGGTGCTTATAGAGGTAAACTGTGCGTGCGCGCGCGTTCATAGTGGTGAGTATGCGCGTGTTATAGACGTATGCGTTTGCGTAAAAAAAAAAGATTGGAATGCTAGAAAATGTTCAAATAGAAAAAAGCCCATCTAAATTCCGCCGTCCCCGCCATTTTCCCTTTTTCCTCACTCCCCCATCTCTCTCTCTCCGTCGCTCGTCGCGATCTCGCCGAAACCCTAGCCAAAACCCCCGTGGGGGAGGGGATCGGAGAGATGCTGCACGAGCTCCTCCTCGCGCTGCTCGGCTTCACCGGCGACTTCGTCCTCGACGCCGCCTCCTCCCCGTCGGCCACCCGCCGCCGCCGCCCTGTTCCCCCGGAGGCCGCCGCCGGCGGCGACGTGGGCCCCGCCTCCTTCCGCCTCGCCCCCGACCTCACCTTCCTGCAGCCGTCCGAGAGGTACGGGATCCCTGCGGCCTTGTGTGTTTAGGCTGTAGCTGGGTGATTGTGAATCCGGGAGGGGAAGGGATCTGCGATGGAGGTTAGTTAGGTGGTCGAATCAGACATTTTGGATGCGGGTACCGACGAACAGGGGAAATTGGGGAATTTCGCGTTTGGGGATGATGTGTAGTGCTTGCCTACGCGCAATTTGCTTCTGTGCTTCAGTGATTGTCTGATTGATAGCTGCTGCCATTGAATTTAAATGCGCTCTTCATTGCCCTTCAAGCATTGTTACCGCTGTAAACCCGACTAGAGCATGCTGTTTCTTCAGATTTCATGTAATGTACAAACTAAAACGAGCAATGCAATGACGGTGCATGTAATGTACAAACCAGGGAACAGCCTTACAAGACTGGAGCAGTTGAACATCCTAGAAATGTAGTCTCAGACAAGAGACCAACTTACAAAGTTGGTTTGGGATGAGTTTCCTGGAAATGTACCATTGTAGACCAAGCATATATACAACTTCCTCCTTACATGTGTTGGGCTATGAGTACTTGACATTAGTTAGGAAACATCAAAGAACACACTTTAAAAGAAAGAATGTACAGATACAATTTGACTAAATTTTACATTACCTCCTTCCAACGCTTTATAGGAATCTGCGTTGTGCTATTTTCGTGTGACTGACCAAATTCTAAATGGCTCGGCATATTTGCAGGAGTGCTATTGAAAGGCTCATATCCTTGGGCTTTTACTACAGAGAACTAAATCGCTTTGCAACTGAGTCTCGTGACCTGAGTTGGATCAATTCTCCTATAGATGTTTCACCAACTCATGGTGAGAAAACTGTGAAGGCTAAAGTGAGAAAAGGGAGTGCATACAGGAGAGCGATTGCCAATGGTATTGCTGAGATTTTGTCAGTTTATAGATCAGCTGTTCTGCAGGTTGAGCAAAACCTGTTGTCAGATCCTTTGCCTATCCTGGCAACGGTAACTCATGGGCTAAATAAGGTTTGTTATTTAAGTAGTGCATTTAATGTTTCTGTATGCAAATATCATTATCTAATTCTCGTATAACCATATACTATACTTATAAATATCATTATCTAATTCTCCTATAACCATATACTATACTTATCCATTGCAAAATTTGTCAATCACTGAGACTTGTTGAATTACATTGTAGTTTGAAGTTCTCCTGCCTCCGCTCCATGAACTTGTTATGGAAATTGAGCAGAAAGACATCAAAGGAGGACAACTTCTTAACCTTTTGCATAAACGATGCCATTGTGGTGTTCCAGAACTGCAAAGCTGTATTCAAAGGTATTAATTTGGTTAGTTTTCACCAGTAACTATTTAAGAAAGAAAATTTTTATCCCATTCTTTCATGCTTGCATGGGAACTTTTGTATTTTTATCTCCTATGCAACTAATCCTCCCAATATATCCCTTGTTTTCCTATAAAAGATGTCTCTTCATACTATATTGATGTTGTGCATTTTTTTCCTTGCGAATTCTCCGTGTACCCTGAAAGTACCTAAATGCTGTATCTTTCTTGTTTGTTTCCTTTTCATTGATCGGGAACACAGACTTCTTTGGCATGGACACCAAGTCATGTTTAACCAGCTGACATCTTGGATGGTTTACGGGATCCTTCAAGATCAATACAATGAATTTTTCATTAGAAGGTCAGCATGCCTTACATATCTTGAATTAAATTATCCTGTTCTTCACTCCTTTGTTCTATTCCTGCTTCTGATCTATTACTGTCATATATCCATTTTTCCGTTATGGCCTTCTAAATTGTAATGGAATATTTGAATCAGAGATGCACAATCTGTAAGCACCTTTAAGTTTTGGTTATAACATAGGACATTTCAATCTATTTGATACAGCTTGATTCGCATATGCTTACCTTCTCTATTTCTTTCCTCAGATCTGTTTCGTTTGTTCTCTTAAGTACAGACTCCTAAATATTTAGTCTAATACTGTGAAATTGAGGGATAATAACTTCTGTCTAGATGATCTCCATTCAAATCCTTAAATCCCGTATTCTATGGTGGGAATTAAATTAGTTAGTATTCAAAATAGTTAGTATTAACTGCTGAGCCATAATGCCATTCTGCAATACAAACTTATTGCCTTCCTTTTCAGACAGGAAGACAGGGACAAGGAGAATGATTCATCTCAGGTGGACGTTGCTGATAAGTTTACGCAGAAATCAGCTAAAGAGACATCCCTGACTAGTTGGCACACAGGATTTCATGTATCTTTGGTATGCGGTATTACAAAGTTTGTGGATATGAGGTATTTGTTGTTAGGATGGTGGTCATAATCTGATGGTTATTGTTTTTGTTTTCTTCACTCGACAGGATATGCTACCTGAGTATATCCACATGCGAGTTGCAGAATCGATCCTCTTTGCTGGCAAAGCAATAAGGGTTCTTCGAAATCCTAGTCCTGGTGCTACCTTGCAGGAATCCATGAACCAAAGTCAGAATGTGAAAGGATCTTATAGAATGCAAAGTCTCATAGGAGGTTCAGGTGCTCTAAAAGAGCTACCAAACTTCCCTAACATAAGTGCAGAAGAATTGTTGCCACAGGCTGAAGCAGATAAAATTGATGCCATGCTCAAGGAGCTAAAGGTAGCTTTCAACTGCCTGCTGGCATTATTATAAACCATATTATTTTCTTGCAAGCTCTTTTGTTTTACTCAAACATTTAGCTTTTGTTCTTGCCTTTTACAAGAGCAATGCTCATATGGCCAAATGACCTTTTCTGTTTTTGTAGCATTCTTCAGAATTTCATAAAAGGCTGTTTGAGTCTGCTGTCGGCTCAATACGAACAATGGCAGCTAATAATCTCTGGCAGGTACTGGATGGCTTAAAGCATTCTGTGTTTTATCACTGTTACATAACAAAGTAGCATAACCTGTTGTTTCCTTTGGTAAAAGCTAGTGGTTGTACGTGCTGATCTTAATGGTCACTTGAAGGCATTGAAAGATTATTTTCTTTTAGCGAAAGGTGATTTTTTCCAGGTAGGCATGCACTTCCCACGAAGCATCTTTTCAATTCTCTCACAAGTTCTCCATTGTTGCATTACAATGCAAATCTTTCTTTTTAGTTGCTTTCTGAGTTCATACATTGTGACCATATTCCTGAGCAGTGTTTTCTTGAGGAAAGCCGTCAATTAATGCGCCTACCACCTCGCCAATCTACAGCTGAAGCAGATCTCATGGTCCCATTTCAATTGGTAACTAATATATTCCTTTTGTGTTCTAGCAGACTTGATGAAATTCAATCTTATGTGTTATCACTTTACTACATATGAGTTTTCACCAACTTATATATTGCAGACCTGTTTTTATTCTCTTATCTGATATAATTCCTCATGTCAGTGAATAGATCTTATTTTTGTTCTCTTATATGCTACGGTACCTCATGCTAGTAAATAGATTTGACTTTTGCAGCCATGATGTATTTTCCTGTTATTAATTCCCTCAGGCTGCACTGAAGACTATAGGTGATGAGGACAAATATTTTGCTAGAGTCTCATTAAGGTTGACATCTCTTTCTACCTCTTAGTAATTCATTTCAGGCCTTGTCTAGTGATTGTTAATTCTGCATATTGTAAACTAGTTATGTTTTTTCATTGTAGAATGTCATCGTTTGGTATAAAAGCTAGTACCTCACAGAAAGATCTACAAAAGTCCAGTACTCCTGAGATTTCCTCGCAAGGAAAGGCTACCTCAGAATTGGCACTTGATGGGTGGGATAGTATTGCTCTGGAATATTCTGTTGATTGGCCCCTGCAGCTTTTCTTTACTCCTGATGTTGTGTCCAAGTACGTGTGGTTTCATATCTCGACTAAATAAGCTCTTGTGAATTCCCTATTCTTGCAGTGTGAATTTACTTCTGAGAGTTACAACATGACTCATGCTATTCAGATATGGAAGTGAGGACCATATGCATTACTTTCTCTGTCTTAAATATGTAAACCTCATACAGGTATCGCAAGGTTTTCCAGTATCTCATCCGATTGAAGAGGACACAAATGGAACTTGAGAAATCCTGGGCAGCTGTAATGCATCAAGACCATGCTGATTTTTCTGATTATTGCAAGGATCGGAAAAATGGCGATGCAACACAACTGCGCCGGCAACGCTCTAAGCCATTTTGGCGGGTAAGGGAGCACATGGCTTTCCTGATCAGAAACCTACAGTTTTATATTCAGGTAATAACCGGTTAGACGTTCTCTATATCATATTTCTTTTCTAATTCCAAATGCCACTCTTATGTCTGTACATAAAGCTTTCTGACGTATGATTTTCTTGTCATCTAACCTTAGGCTTGAAGCATTGTACTTTTCATGTTATTTGGATCCTGGGCTAGGTGTTTTTTTTAATTGTTCTAGAACTATTGGCCCCACTGAAATCCTTAATTCAAATCCAAAAATTGAGATTTTGGTTAGTAACCAGGTGGTAACTGTTTGCCAGACAGTTACCATCCATAAGTTTTTCATAATTAAATTTTGAATTTGATTTCATAGCCTTATGGCCGGTAAAACCTCCTAACCGGTCATAGCCCTAGACTAAACTGGCCGGTTATCACAGGTTTTTGGAACCTTGATCCTGGGAATGCACTTTCTTTTTTCTGCCTTTTTTTTGTTACTCCAATGACATTTGGTTAGTTTGGTAATTTCTTTTTTTTTCTTTTCCATGTATTGGACTTGCTTTGCAGGTTGATGTAATTGAGTCACAGTGGAATGTTTTACAAGCTCACGTGCAAGATTCACATGATTTCACAGAACTAGTGACCTTTCATCAAGAGTAAGCAAACCATTTTTCACTTTTTCCTCTATAAAATAAATTCCATCTTTTATTTGAAGGAATAATTACATTTGCTGGTAATTTGTGTCAACGAACTAAGTATGAGTCAGTTGACCCCAACTGTTTAGGAAAGCTTTGCTATCTGTTGTAGTTTTGTTTACTTGCTAGTTTCCACATAGAATTGCAGTATTCAAAGTGTTGTACAGACAAGTAAAAAAAGAAAGATCTGTAAATATCTTGGCTGATTATCACATCCTGAACTGCAGGTATTTGTCAGCACTAATTTCGCAATCCTTCTTGGATATTGGATCGGTGTCTAGAATACTAGACAGCATAATGAAGCTCTGTTTGCAGTTCTGCTGGAGTATCGAACAATACGAGAACAGGAGAAACATGCTTGAGATTGATCACATAACTGAGGTATCATCCTACCTTTTTTGCCATTCCTAGACAGACAGGAGCATTTGTTTTGGTCTCATAGTTCTCTGGAAAGTCTCAATACCTATTCGCTTGGTTTTGATGATAACAGGAGTTCAACAAGAAGTCGAATTCGCTGTACACTATCTTAAGGAGCAGTCGGCTTGCAGGGAGTCAGAGAGCGCCTTTCCTGAGGCAGTTTCTGATGAGGCTAAATTACAACTCTTTCTTCGAGGTAAGCCAATCACACCAATTTGCATCCTGTAAGGTATCCCCTCCGTCCCACTTACTAAGGCGTGGTTAAACTCGGCAAAGTTTTCAAAACTAATCTTTAACTTTAAATTTCTCATATACTACAATGATTACAGAAACAAAATTATAATATTATTTTCATAAAAGATAATTTATAATAATTTTTTTATTGGTTGAATATTTAAAGAGTTGAATTTTAAAATGCGCGTGCGCCTAGTAAGTGGGACGGAGGGTGTTCACGTGTATTTCTGTTTTTCTTTTTAAAATCAGAACATTTCTTTTAACTTTGCTGATTTTCCTTCGAATCGTAGACCACTGCTAGGGGGGTGATGAATTCTGCAGGCGGTAGGTTACGGCCAAGCACTGCAGGTACCCAGCTGTAACCATCATCGTTCTAAGAAGCGCCTTTTCTTTCTGGTTTGTGATTTTACACGAAGGGGGAGAATTTGTAGCTGATGTAAATCATGACACTAGCATCTTAATGGAAGTTTGCCCTGTAAAGTGTGAGTGCTAGATTATGGTTGTTTTGTGCTGATGGTGTGTGATTGTGCTAGCTTGTCTACATTTCTCGCTTTGTCGTCTGCTAATGCCAGCCTTTTCAACCTTTGAGCGTTGGATTAAGCCATTGGACGCCATCAGATCGTGTCCTTGGGTAAATTATGGGTGTTAACCTGGGTTAACTACAATTAACCAGATGTAGATCAGCTTGTCAACGAAGTAGAGCACAATTAAGGCCCTTGTTTCATTTTCATTTGACAGTTCATAATTAATATTGATCGGGTGCTTCATTTCAACAACCTAGATGTTGATGCCATGACTGATGCTAAAACATCGTGCATTTGGACTTCAAGAGGGATAAAACAACTGAACCCACATTAAGGCTGAGTTCTTTTATTACCTTTATTGACTTACATTCCTTGTTTTTCGCACGCATGCTTCTCAGACTGTTAAACTGTGTTTTTTTTTTTGCAAAAGTTGTTTTAAAAATCATGTTGATTCATTTTTTTTAAAAGCTAATACTTATTAATCACATGTTAATGGATCGCTCTGTTATGCGTGTTTAGAGGGAGAGTTTCCAACTCCAACCAAAGAACACAGTCTAAGGGTTAGCAGTTTGAGAAATATGCATGTAGAAAACCAAAAAGCGAAGTTGGGTAAGGGTAGTGCTGGACTCAGCCTTAAGCATCCATGCTCGCACCGATCGAAATGACCGGCAACGGGTGTGATATGGAATTTCCAAATTACAGTACAATCTTCTTCAGTGACGTGTTCGTGTATATTTACATCTCACACATTATCCATCTCGATCGCAAATGCAACAACACATCCTGCAAGTTCTCGATCACTTCAATTTGGACGGTCAATATAATCCATCTAACCAGTTAGTCGATCAGTCAGCGGTAGGAGTTGGAGATCATGAGCATGGCCATGGCGACGGCCTGGTCCATCCCTGGCTGCACCGTCAGTGACAACACGTCCTTCCCCAGCAGCGTCGTCTTCCTCGGCCCGCCTCTCTTCCTTCTCACCTACAAAAATTCAACATGTTTAAACTGCATGCATTATACAATTCATCATCATCTATTTATCATTGTTCTCGGAGCGTGGATTGTTGAGTGGTTTCGAACGGTGGGTGTGAGTTTGAAATTTGCTGCTGCATTGTGCTCATTGATGTTTATAGGGGTAGGATGTCTGCGTGTATATTTATAGGAATGAGTGCGTGTTTGTTTATATAAACGTTTGCATCTGTACTATGTATCGAAAAAAGAGAGTATATGTCTTCTTTTTTCTTTCTTGTATTTTATTTACCTCTGTAACGGTTGGGTGCATCGTTTTGTGCAGAGTTGTTATAATATTTTATCTTGAAATAAATATTCATTCGATTAAAAATAAATTGTTGAGGAAAACTACATTGTATCATCAAACTCTCTTACTTCCTCCACTTTCTCAACTCCTCGATCATCATCCCTTACACCCAAGGTATCCCCACCCACTTTCTCCCTTCCTACACCAGATCTGGAGGTTGGCGAGCTCATTGGGGTTGTCAGAATTGGTGAAGTCAACGAGGAGAGAGGCAACGCGGTGAGCTTGGTGGTATTGTAGGTGAAGAGGGAGGAAAGAGAGGAGGGGTGAGTCCGAGCACGATCAGATCCGAGGCATAGATGAGGAGGTGGTTGGTCTCGGCGTGGTGGGTGATCTAGGAGTTGGAGAAACTTTATGCGTGCCTCAAGATTGTCACACCGACATCACTCGAAGTCATTGTTCTCCTCATCACTCATGCTGCTCGTCGACGATGCATGCATGTACATCGTGGCCACGTCATCCTCGACTGATACCCACATGTATTAGTTTGGTACCATTTACCGGGGTCTGATATCTAGGGTGTATCATATCTGATACATAGGAACCATGTATCAAGACAAGGTGGAAGGGGTGAGCACCATCGCTGTCTAGTCAGCCGACGAGCCATATATTGCCCGTTTCTCTCCTCTTCCCCTTCCTCTTCTCAATGCGCTCTCTCCTTCCCAGCTATTAGGTACCATGTGCCTAATATCCTGATACCTAGGTATAATCGAGGGGCGGTGAGGGGACGAGCGCCTTCCCCACCTAGTCAACCCGGGAAATAATAATTTGGGATTGAATGAGACGTATCCTAGTCCAAAGGGCTGTTCAGATTCATTGTCCCTTAAATGTTTTGATGGGATCCCGTCCCTTATTAGTTACCCTTAAATATCATTGCATTATAAGTGAATCGCTCGTCAGGTTTAAGCTTTACGTTGAATTAGTTGGTGCACGCATTCAACTCAATAAATAAATAAAATTTACCTCGGCGACGAGGGAGTTGATGCAGCCGCTAGAGCAGTGAACCCTGGACCACTCCTCCCGGCACGACCAGCTCATGCGGTAGACGCCATGGCCGCACGCCGCCTCGTCGCCGTTGCCGGCGCCGGCGCCGGCGGCGAGCATGGACACGGTGCAGCTCGGGTTGCCCAGGTCCTTGGTCGCCCTCATCACGAGACGTGGCGGCTCATCCTGGGAGCACGTGGCGGCGCCATCGCCGTCGCCGACGTCGCCCTTGTACACCTCCCATGTATCCGGCCTCAAGCTCATCAGCAGCACCCTGCAATGGCGGCGGTGGCGGCGGACGACGGTGAGGAGGACGCGGCCGGCGTGGTCCATGAGCGCCACGAGGCGGCGGCCGGCGCCGTAGCTGTCCACGCGGAACACCATCCGCCCGTCCGCGTCGTCGAACACCGCGTACCCCTCGCCGTGGAACACCAGCGACTTGCACCACACCGTCAGCCTCGCCACCTTCTTCTTCGCCGCCGGCGCCGGCGGCGACCGGCATGGCTCGTCGTACTCCTCCTCCTCCGCCGCCACCTTCGCCCTCTTGTTGGCTCTCGGCGCCGCCGCCACCGCCACCGCCTGGTCCAGCAACGCCATGGACGGCGTACGTTGCGGCCGGGGACGTCGCTGAGCTCGCCGGCGGCGACGTGGGCGCGCGCGCGCGACGGCGCAGCTGTTAATAATTGCTTAGCTTTTGCTTAGCTTTCAAGTGGTTGTCTTGTTATTTATATAGCCTTTGATTTCTTGCCTTGTGTGCCCACCCTCTAGTAAGATTTTTTTTCTTGTCCTTTTTTTTTTTGCATGGATACAGTTAGATATTTTTTGTTTTGGTCAAATTAGCATTTCTTTTGTGTGGATATATACAGTAAGATTTTGTGATGGTACTCTTTTGATTTCTAGTACTCACCACTTTAAATGTGTGAGTCTGAGGTTTGTGATGCTACTGTTTTTGATTTCATCGTCAGTGCTTTAAATGTTTTGAGTGTGACCGAGTTGTTTGGTAGCACCCTTCACTACTACGGAGTACTGAAGTACTGTCCCCTCCGTTTCAAAACATTATTTTAAGTTGTTTGATTTTTTCTAGTAGTTTGACCAAATTTATAAAAAAAATATAATAGTACTTTTTTAAAAAAACAAATATATTATCATAACATATTCAATGTTAGATTAATAAAACTAATTTGTTATTTTAGATATTGCTAAATCTTTTTATAAACTTGATTAAACTTGAAAAAAGTCAAGCGACTTATAATAAGAAACGAAAGGAGTAGTTTTCAATGAGATATATATTTTCTAGTCCAATAAATCTAGACATAAAGGCTATTCAGATTCATTGGACTAGAAAACTTTTGAAATCAAGGATGTAATCTGTAAAGGTTACAAACAACTATCACTAACGGTTTGAGGACATGTAGTTTCTGATCGACATTTTAGCGATTATTCCTTTTGTTCTAAACAAGTTCTTTTTCCATATATAAATTTGGACATATGCAATGTTCAGATTCATATGGAAAGATGAACTTAATTATTTTAAAACAGAGATAGTAATTTGATTTGTAAGGTGAATCTCTCACCATGCATCTCAACGTTGGTCAACTGTTAATGATATTTTCTTTTGAGTAAATTTCAGAAAATTGCAACTTTAGCAACAAAACTATCAGTTTGCTGCAACATTAGTGACATGTTTCAATTTGCCGCAACAATAGCGTGGAAAATTATCATAAAACTGTAACTTTTACGTTATATGCTACTACAGTATATATAGGTGACAACTGTAGCAGCATATAACATAAAAGTTGCAGTTTTGTGATAATTTCCCACGCTATTGTTGTAGTAAACTGAAACATGTCGCTAATGTTGTAGCAAACTGATATTGTTGTCAGTTTTCTGAAATTTACTCTTTTCTTTTTGATATTGTAAGCTCTAACAAGAGAAATATATGAACTGCTATAGGCTCTAACGGAGTAACGGTTGGGCTTTATATATGAACCATTAATTAACAATTTAGCCGAATGATGCGTATGATATATATATTCTACTATTAAAAGAAATTCTATGTTTTGGTTCTATAACTTTCGGTTAGCAAACACTAATTCTGCAAAATATCAAAGTACAAGCCCTTTCTTGCTACTGCCATCAGGTTAATTACACGAGGAACACGCATGTTGAATAATATTCCCCCATATATGCTGAATAGTCCCATATGCAGATATGCCGATGCAGTTGACCTAGCTAATTAAGCCAGTGCCTACAGGATTCCCTAATCCAAATATTTTTTTTATCAACTCTATTTCTTTATTCAACTACTATCATTCTACGTTGCACTCGACATTCTGTAGAGAGGGTACTATTAAAAGAAATTCTATGTTTTGGTTCTATAACTTTCGGTTAGCAAACACTAATTCTGCAAAATATCAAAGTACGAGGGTCGTTCCCCTCTTCAAACTGTGTGAAATGAACAATTCTACGGTACTTGAGAAGGTACGGTCCTTGAGAAGGTACCATAAGGTACCAAAAATTTAGTGTAAAATTTGGTACCTCATACTACCTAGGTACTAAGAAGTACCAAATTTATAATAGAAAAAGTGGTACCTCATGGTACCTCCTCAAGAACCGTAAAATTGCTCGTGTGAAATACGTATAATGCTGAAGAATATCCCATAAGATATCACATATTCTAATGTAAAAATATAGGTATTTCTAAGGAACTAGCTATCTCGAGGTATCATTTTTTTAAAATGATATATATAGATAAAAATTTCTCTTAATAAAATACCCTTGTTGATCCCATTTTTTTAAAACTCTTGATTGTTCATATATATGCTTGTGGCTTTTTTTTATCATCTTTTTCTTAGCTGAAGCTATCTAGCAACCTTTTTTTTTTTTGCTTCTTAATTAGTTATAAGAGTTTAAATTAGGGCCGTGATCCGTATCTCCAAATAATTTTATCATCGTCTTATCATGCATTCATGCATGCATGTCATTGTATAGCATTTCAATATATAGCTACTAATTCGACTGGGTCTGAATGACTTCATACAACTATTTCTAGAAAGTGAATGATGTTAGTTAAAGCAAACAATTCAACCCAGCCTGTCCCCTTTCTTTTTTCTGGGATCACAATCTAACTACTAAAGGATATATTAATTGAAATTGAAATTCAACAATTGATATATACCTTCTGCAGATCAACAAAGATCAGATTTAATACACATTTTATTATATCAATATATTTCTAGATCGATAGGAGAGTATCTCAACTAAATATATTGGTGATCAATTCTAGCAAGTAGCTAGCGTGTGAATGTAATTATATTGCTGTCAAGCTTAATTAGTTTTGTGAGTTGTGACGATCCATGGAATTAAAATGAAGTGACAGCAACCATTGACCTGTAGCAACATATACTATATGTGATCTAAAGTCAGACCGATTCATCCATGGCTATTTATATACATATACACATATATTTAACAATTATATGATCAGTTCAAACAAAAACTATCTGGCATCGCTGTTAAGGAATGAAAGAATTTGTGCGTGCAAAACGTGAGCTTTGTATATATTGTACATGTCCATCGATCAACCTCCAATGATACTAGAAAAAAAAAAGAACGAATTACATTCATGTAACTGTCCTCATCATTACTTTCACCTTTGGATATATCTCGTTGGATTTTCTTTGCTTCTTCCCAAAAGGTCGACATCTTGTGAGCAGGGTTTCATGTGTTGGTTTGAAAATCCACAATTTCTGAAAAATTCAGGAATCTCGGTTTGCCCGTTAGGATATTATTTCGACCAAAAGTTCAATTTTTGTAATCAAGTGAATTTTGTTCAAATTCCAACCTTTTCCACTCTGAAATTTTCCCTGAATTTCTGCAATTTCTAATGTTTCTACCCCCCCACCACAGTCACACCCAAAAATACAAACATATTTGATTTATGATATAATAAACGCCGGTTGTCAGTTGCAAGCAAAGGTGCATATCAGTCATGGCTGAAAAAAAACCCAGTTTTTTTTGCCTACAATTTGCTTTGTCTTGATAGCTTTCACGTCAAACATCAACCAAAGCAATGTACCCACACTAGTACATAACCTTCCATCTGTGACGGCTTCTAACATGCCTGGATTAGCGAGCCGTCTCGGATGAGTCATCTACGATGGACCGAAAAAGCGCCTGATTGAGATACGGTCGCACAAACATGTTAGATGGGCACAAAACTCAGGCCCGTCACGGATGACAACTATCAGTGACGGGCCGTAGTTTAGACCCGATTGAGATAACATTACATATCTCAATCGGACCCCAAGTTAGCGCCTGTCACAAAATTCACATATCTCTCATCTGGTTTTATAAACTATAATACTGATATGTAAATTTTGTGAACAATATTACTAACACTTTGTCGGATGAAGAAATGACAAACATAAAAGTTAAAGATCTTGGTGAGTTATACAACTTTGTTGTTGATGACTTTTTTAGTTGAAATCATTTAGTATTTGAAAATGTTGTTTGAAGTTGTCATATTTTCAAATTCAAATTCAAACTGTTCAAAAAAAATTATATAAAAAAAGACCAAAATAAAAGTTATCTCAATCGGGCTAAAGGTCATCCGTGACGGGCGCAAACTTGGGGCCCAATTGAGATATGTAATGTTATCTCAATCGGGTCTAAACTACGGCCCGTCACTGATAGGTGTCATCCGTGACGGGCCTGAGTTTTATGCCCATCTAATATGTCTGTGCGACCTTATCTCAATCGGTAACAATTAGGCCCGTCACAGATGACTCATCCGTGACGGGTTCTATACTAATGCCCGATTGAGATGACTTAGTATTTTTTTTCCATTTTTCATATAAAATGTTTATATTTGTGAGTTGACCTGTAGCAAAATAATTAACTGCAGTATAATAATTCATTTTATTAGTCAAAATAATTTTTCGGGTAGTAAATGATTTCAAATGGAAAAATTGTCAATAACAAAGTTATATAACTTATCAATATTTACAACTTTTATTTTGGTTATTTTTCTATATAACTTTTTTTGAACAGTTTGAATTTGAAATTGAAAATATGACAACTTCAAACAACATTTTCAAATACTAAATGATTTCAAATGGAAAAATTATCAACAACAAAGTTGTATAATTTATCAAGATTTACAACTTTTTTTTGGTCATTTTTCAATATAACCTTTTTTTTGAACAATTTGAATTTGAATTTGAAAATATGATAACTTCAAAATAACATTTTCAAATACTAAATGATTTCAACTAAAAAAGTCATCAACAATAAAGTTGTATAACTCATCAACATCTATAACTTATTTTGGTCATTTTTTTATATAACTTTTTTTTTTTGAACAGTTTGAATTTGAATTTGAAAATATGATAACTTCAAACAACATTTTCAAATACTAAATGATTTCAACTAAAAAAGTCATCAACAACAAAGTTGTATAACTCACCAAGATCTATAACTTTTATGTTTGTCATTTCTTCATCTGATAAAGTATTAGTAATATTGTTCATAAAATTTACATATCTGTGTTATAGTTTATAAACCAGATGAGAGATATGTGAATTTTATGAACAATGTTATTATCACTTTGTCAGATGAAGAAATGACCAAAATAAAAGTTATAGATCTTGATGAGTTATACAACTTTGTTGTTGGTGACTTTTTCAGTTGAAATCATTTAGTATTTAAAAATGTTGTTTGAAGTTGTCATATTTTCAAATTTAAATTCAAACTATTTTAAAAAAAATATATATAGAAAAATGACTAAAATAAAAGTTATAGATCTTGATGAGTTATACAATTTTGTTGTTGATGACCTTTTCGGTTGAAATCATTTAGTATTTGAAAATGTTGTTTGAAGTTGTCATATTTTCAAATTCAAATTCAAACTGTTCAAAAAATTTTATATAGAAAAAAAGACCATAGTAAAAGTTACAGATTTTGATGAGTTATACAACTTTGTTGTTGACAATATTTCCATTTGAAA